TAAATGTAGGGTTGCAAAATTGCAAAAAGTTGTTGTCAGGAGGGTCACAAGCTTATTGTAGAGGGGGTGCGGTACTGCTATTCTTACTTCTGCGCTGCTGCTGCTGGCGGGGGGACTGCCTTCAGAGCTGAGCAGCTGGAGAAGGTGGCTGCTGGCCAGGAGCCCAACTCTGAAGGCAGAGCCACTGCCAGCAACAGCATAGAAGTATGGGCAGCATGGTATGGTATGCCACCCAGTTCTGAAGTCAGCACAGAAGTAAGGATGGCAATACCATGACCCCCTAAAATAACCTTGTGACCCTCCTGCAACTCCCTTTTGGGTCAGGACCCCCACTTTGAGAAATACTGGTCTCCCACCCCTCCCCCCATGAAATCTGTACAATATAGGATAAAATCACAAAAGACCCGATTTCACGGGGAGGGAACCACATTTCACGTTTTGTGAGGTGTTTTTCATGGCCATGAATTTGGTAGGGCCCTATTCATACTGTACATGTACACCTGACAGCGTGGAATCTCTAGTATAAAGTGCTTACATGTCTCATAAATATGTACAAATAGGTCGTCTCTTCTCTGCTTAGTTAAAAGAAATCAATATAAAGTGATCATAAAATTAAAGCCCAAAATAACTATTGAGAATATTAAATGTATTTGAGGTCTTATAAGACTTACTAATAAAATTTCAGGTCTTCCATTAAAACTGAGTTTTTGTTAACTTACTGACAACAATCAAGACTATTATTTATAATTCAGTAGCCTCAGCCCCATCTTGCTAGGCACTGTACAAACACAGAGAGGGCCCCTGCCTGGAAGAGCTTACAATCTAAGTGTAAAACATGATGGACATGGATACAAATATACAGAGAGTGCAATGTAATGATAAGATACTAGTTAGCATGATAAGCAGTGGTCCACAGCAAAACCAGCTGCTTCACCACTGCCAAGTTTTTTTTGTAGGCATCACAGCAGACTGTTTTAAGGCGGACAATATAGTGGGCTTTGTGGATTTTGTATTGAGACGACTGATGCACAAAGGGCAGCATGATAGAAAGCACAAACATCCTAAATCAAAACTGGCACTATTTGCAGAACATAGGTGGGAGGTCAGCATCTTCCTACTGTATAAGGAAAGAGAGGTAAGCCAGAGAGGGCCTCAGAAGTGAAGACAAGTAGTTTGTGTTTGATGGGGTGGAGAAGAGACAGCCAGTGAAGGGACACAAAGGTCTGTAATGTGGTTAAAGCAACAAGCCAGGAAAGTTATCTTTGTAGCAGCATTTTAATTGGGTAGATGGAACAGGATGAGATTTGTCAAGGCCAGCAAGGAGGAGTTTGCTGAGGTCAAGGAATGAAATGAAGGCCTGAACCAGAGCTTTAGCTGTACAGCTTGAGAAGACAGACCGAATCTTGGAAGTGTTACATGGGAAGCAGGCAAGATTTAGACACAGCGCCAGACCAATGTCAATGCTCGTCACTAACATAATACTTTCCTTCTCCAAAGCATTTTACAGAAACTGAATGGTTCGGATGATCAGGAATATAATCACGCCATTAAAGCAGGGCAGACTTCAAGCGTCAGGGACACTAGAGCCAGAGAGAGAGCAAGGCAGGTATCTTTTTAAAGTGATCCTGGTGAAAGGCAGTCACACGTCAGCGTGTTATTTAATCCCCTTAGACTCTCTCACACCTCAGGGGGTGGCCAACGGGCGTGTGGCCGGAAAGGAGGGCGGCTGGGCATGCGGGCGGGCAGGGGCAGACACCCACCGCCACCTGTTCGGCCTGGGCCGGTTACCCGGGAGAAGACGGGGGGCGGGAACAAGCAGCGCCGAGTCCGCTCGCTCCCCTCACAGATACGCCGCAGGGTAACAGAGACTCGCCCGCACCGAGCACATGGGCCCCCTCCCCAGCGCGGAGCGGCGGGCACTGAGCCCGGCCGTGCACACAGGGCACGACAGCCCCCTCCCCGCCGCAGCCACGGGGCCTCCGCCGGAGCCTGTCACACCCGCACACGGAGGGGGCGCGCCCGGGCCGGGAATGGAGCAGGGAGGCAGCAGCCGCCGCTTCACCGCCCTTCGCACCCACCTGCTCGCGGAGTTTAAGGAAAACCATGGCGAGGCCGCCGCACCGACCAGCCGCCGCCTCCGGCCGCCAACTGACTCCGGCTGCCCCGCCTCCTCCCAGGGGCCGATCAGCCCGTGCGCAGGCCACGCCCCGCGCCCCGCCCAGCCCCGCCCGGGATCTGCGCCGGGCGCCAAGGGGGAAGCCGTGGGCCCTGAGGAAACGCGCGCGCGGGGATGAGGAGGGGGGGAAGTCCCCCTCCTGCCCCGCCCCCTTTTGCCCCGCCCCGTTCTCAGAGGCAGCTTCCGGAATTAGACTCGGACGGCATCAAAGCGGCTCCCCAGCCACCACCCCCGCCACCGTCACTCACCATCAAGGGCGGCGCTTATTGGGCCGTGAGCAAGGGTCGGGGCGGAGTAAGGGCAGCGCCGATTGGCCGGGTAGGGGAAGCTGGCGTGTGATTGGCCAGGAGCAGCAGCGGGGGTGGGCGAGGCAGGTTCGGGGCACAGGGCGGGAGGCGAAGACACGGAGGTGGGCAGGAGAGAGGGTGACGGGCGGGAGTGGGGGGAGGGGCTGAGCCTGTATCAGGAGCTGCAATTATCCCCCCTTCTGCCCCTCCGCCGCCTGGGGAGAAAACCCCGAAGGCGCCGGGCTTGTCGCTGCTGCTACCAGATGCGGGTTCATCTCCCTCCCCCCGAGCAGTGACTCGCATGGGAACTGGGACCCAACCCCCGGCTGCCCCAGTGACCTTGAGCGCCTGTACTAGCCCGTCTGGCACCTCGCAGGCGCGAGGTTTGTCATTAGGGTGACCATACGTCCCATTTGGGCAGGACAGTCCCCTTTTTTAAACCCTGACTTTTTTTTGGCAAGAATGGCCATTTGTCCCCTTTGCTCTTGCCAGTTGCACGTGGCTCTGATCAGTCGCCAAGAGCAAACAGAACAAATACCCAGTTTTGCCAAGAAAGTGAGTTGTGCCCCCCTTGGCGGAGTGCAGCAAAACGTTTGGGGAGGCCAGTGGTGACATGAAGTACTGGGCAGCGGGGCTCAAGCAGTCAGCCCAGGGCAGTGCAGGGATCAGGTGGTCAGCCCCAATCCCTGTCGCATGGGGCTGGAGCGAGCAGCAACACCAGGTGGCTGGGGACAGCCCTGTGCGGAGGTGCAGGCGAACTGTGATGTCAGGCACTTCAGGCCAGCCCCACAGAGTGTCCCAATTTTACTTTGGTTAATATGGGCACCTTACTTGTCATATAGTGAGGTTTGGAGTGTGGAGGTGGCAACCAAGGTGATGTCATGAGGCCAATTGGAGTCTCCTCTATGTCTGGGGGGGAGAGGGGAACTGTTTATGTTGCCTGGATTTTAAGGCAAAGTTTCAGAAGATATGGAAGATATTTTTCCAGAGACTGTCAGAGAAGTTAAGTAATGTGGGAAGAAACCAGAACTACTTTGTTAAACTTTTATTGAAAACAACCAAATTCTAACTTGGGATTCATTTAGGGTCAGATACCAAGCTCTTCATTTATACTCAACAGCATCTCACTCCACCAGTGGCCCCATTTAGCCCAATACAGCTGAGCTCCAGGTGGTCATTGAAGTGAGAAGGTGCTATTTAAACTGCACTCATCACCATTGTATCTCAGCATCTTGATTAACATCAGTCAGGTGTTACTTCTTTCATCCTCTCCCCAAAGGGAGAAGTACATGCAGTGGAATGTCCTGATTTGGTAAGGTTTTAGAGGAAAGAGCCTCTAGGCACAAGCATGAACAAATAGCTTTGTTATTAACTCTGAATGCTCGGATCAGTTCTAGATTTTGCAGAGTCCTATGTTAAGATATGTTAGGTCTCTGATATGATGCTTATCTTCCAGGGGCCACAGACATACACATACCAAAAAGGGGCTATTTTTAGGAGCTGGTTATTTTTAATATATATGTTGCTATGTATTTATGTTAAAGAAGGTCAAAGAAAGGAGCCAAGCACTTAGCAAGGAAGGTGGAAAGGTTTGTGATAGTCCTTAGTTCCCAGGGGAGTTCATTCCACGCTCTCAGACCAGCTCCTGAGAAATGTTCTCTTTCTCTCACACACAGAAGAGCTATGTTCTTATTATAGCTAGTTCCATTGTGCCAGATAAGCATAGTTATCAACCAGAGTCTTCATCCCAGTACTTTAGGCAGTAAAGAAATTGCTGCTTGAAACAGGACTACACTACAGTAATGTACACTAAGGAAATTTTAGTGCACATCAGCAAGGTCCACCCATGCCAGTTAGTGCATGACACTCTGGTGGGCAGTGGAATTTACATCCCTGATGGTATACACTAAGGCACTGTGTAGGCGAGCCCTTAGATATCCTGAGCCCAGGCCACTGAGTGCCTTAAAGATAAGGGCAGAGACTTTGAACTTGATTTGAAATTCTATCAGAAGCCAGTTTAGGGAATGAAGGACAAGTCAGATGTTTTTGCAATAGCGTATGTTGCTGAGGAGACACGCTACAACATTCTGTACTAGCTGGAGTTTTCTAAGAGCTGAAGGCATCATGACCTGGTATATTTCATTGCTGTAGCCTGCCAAGAAGTGATAAAGGCACAGTGGGTAAAAAACAAGAATTTTTTTAAATGATTTTTATTTAAAATGGATTTTTCTGATTAAAGTTAAGTTCGTTTTTTTAAAAAGTCGATCTAAAATTGAATTTGAAATTGTGACAACCTATAGTAAAGCCCAAACTTATTATAATCTATTAAAGTAATTTCAGTTAAATTAAAAAATCATAGTCAAGCAGTACATGTTTGCTGCCAAAGTTTTAAAGGCAGTCAAACCATGAAACTTGTGGAAATCACTGGCTAAGTATCTGGAATCAGAGTTTGTTGAAGTGCTAAACCAGCTTTTGAAATCAATAGCTGGTTCTGCAGGTGCAGAGAAAATGTTTCCTTCATTTCAATTTATCCAGTTAGTTCAGTTCAATTATTATTTTTTTCAAAGTTGATAAACCAGTCGGGAGTTGAAAAAGCAGTATAGCTTGTTTTCCTCTTGCCATCTATGATTAAAATGAGGTGTGGAAAGATGAGCTCTACTAGTTCTAATCTTGAAGGACATCACTACCAGAAAAATCAATTCAATTCACTAACTACATATACTTTATTTAATAAAAAATAAGTTAGTTTTAAATGCAGAAGATATTTTGATAAGCTTTTTGATCTTATTTGTCCAGCACATTTAAAGTAGTCTTATTTAACTAATAAACAAATTTTAAAAGCTGTTTTGTGCATTTTAAGTGATTACTAATATCCATCCAAATGCAGCTTGACACAAATCATGAGTTAAAAATTATTAATCGTCTAGCAATTAAATATTATTCACCATTTTCTGACATTAAAAAATTGTGTAAAGATTATATTTAGTCGCAAATCAACGTGCTTTAATGGTTACCAATCAATGACAATCCACCTTTCTTTAGCAAAATAACTACAAAACTAAACAAATGCAAAACAAGATTAAAATAAATTTAAATCAAGGTTTTCTACTTACTGATTTAAATCACTTTGAATTAAATCAATCTATCCTGGACAAAGGCGTGAATAACAGAGGCCAGATCATCATCCATCAGGAAGGGATGAAGTTTTCTAGCCAAGCATGACAGTATCAGTGAGGAATCCAAGAGTATTCCTAAACTACAGACAGAGTAGTTGACCAATTGCGGATGTGTACTTTCAACTAAAGGAGACTGCTCTATGGCTGTAAACTCTTTACAATGATTTCCTCTTCCCACCCCATCAGCTCTGTCTTACTCAGGTTCAGCGTCCGACACCTTTTCTTCATCCAGAAGCTGATCTCATGCAAGCACTGGGCCATCAGGGTGATATTGGTGTGGTTGTATGTGGTGAAGGATAGATAGAACTGTGTGTCACTTGAGTCCATATTATCTGACCAGTTCACCTAGTGAATGCATGTAGGTTTTATGTAATGTAACATCTTAACCCATAGGAAAGTGGCACTAAAACGGGTATTTAGGAAGCATTGCAAATCTCTCTGAATACGTCTAATAAAAGGGGAAAGAGAGAGAGGTTTTCAGGTACTAACAAAACATTCAGATGGGAATATGCATGCAAAAAGGGTTCTCTTCCTAAATAAAAAAAAGTTATTTCACAATACATGAAATTCACAGTTGGGCAGAGAGTCAGCATAGGTACTAAAATTATTGCATTTCTTTCATCAGTAAACACAAAATATAAACACAACACAAAAGTCTTTACAAAACTAAACATAAAAATTGCAAAACTGATCCTGGAAACACCTATATGCTTAAATTTAAGTAAATGTGTAGTTAATGGGACATGCATAAGTGTTTGCAGGATTGTGGCATTATATACATATTATATGCACACAGACAAAATACAAATTGACATGTAGATCAACTTCAAATGCAGGTCTATCCATCTTACATATTTTTCATTAATAATGTTATACACTTTTCTTATTAAATTTGATAAACAATAGTGTCAAGAAATAAGTCTTAGTACTTTAACAAAAATACAGAATTTGATAAATACATTAATGTTTCCCACTTGACAGTATCACTTAAGAATAAAATGTTTTGATTCTCAAATTAAAAAACCCTAGAAAAAATACATATAAAATCTCAAAATTGCATAGATCAGAGTTAAGGTGATTGTGAGGAAATAAGCGTTTCTTGTTTGTTATGCAGACATCATACAATTTAGGTCAGCCTAAACTATATTCTATTTTTTATTTTTAAGTGCTTTGGTTTTGTAAATGATATGGTAGATAACTATACTGTTGTCTCTTAGCAACCTTAACAGGATTTTGAAAGTGCTTTGGATTTGAAGTATATTTAAAATAAGAAACAGTGGCACTGATAGCATTAAGATTTTTGAATCCACAAAAGTTAAAAAATTCCTCAACACCCTTATATAACCAATTTTGTAAATAGCAATGCAGCACACCTAAGGACACACTTTTAGCCGTGTGTGCAAAGATCTGACTACATGGCTCCCATTCATATTAATGTAAATCCCCATGCTGAAATCTTACCCCATGATATGTAACATTATCCATTGTTTTTGAAACAGGACCATATGTGCTGCAATTGAAAGACATAAGGGGACTGAATGTATAAAGATTCTGTAGAAGCCTCATGTATGAGATATTTTGTGAGTTTGTATCACTTCAGTGAAGACACTACCTATGCCCATATTATTTTAACAGTTTTTGTGATTGGTTTCATTTGTTGATAAAAATGCATCTTTTCAA